AGCAGGAATTAGTCATTCTGATTGCACTGTAGAAAGGTCCGTTTATCCTACCATGTTGAACAAGGCAATTTAACTGACAACAAATATCTAGCCCTGCACTGTGGAGGATGATTGCACTTTTCTTCCTTTAGTACTATAATATAACTCATTAGAAGCTTAACAAACATACAAATAATTCTGCTTTATGTTTGAAAAACTTATGGTTGCTTAACCGTTACTGCTTCTGCTCTAAACTCTGCTTTAGATTTCGTTTGTTAGGTTATTTATATGAATCAAAATACAGCATCCTCTCCTAGGTGGGTTTTAAAGTGATCACCTGCATTTAAACGGCAGTCATTCTATTGCAGCAAACAAAGTGTAAAGGAGTGAAAGTATTTCCTCAGGCCAAATATGCTTGCGCCTCAGTGGACAAAAAAGTCCAAAATAGTCAGGCTTTGATTCCTTCTTTTTTAGCCCCTGGAATATCATGAATGTGATAGTTGTTATAGCCCTAATGATCCTGACAGAAGACAGCCATTTTGGACCAAGGACCTAGCCAAATGTTTCTTAGTCATGATAGTTATATTGACTACATCTGCACACAGAAACTAATTCTTCTGTCTTCCATTCCTGAGTAGGTACCTCTGGAGAAGTGTGAACTTGTGGACTCTGGTAGAGAAAACAGCAGAAAATACAAGTGGAAAAAAGCCATGTATATTTTGTAAAAATAAAACAGAAACTCCCTGTATTCTCTAGAATAATATTCCTGCTAAATGCAAAAGACTCCTACTGAATCAGTCTGTGACTGTGCACAAAAGTATATTACTGTGAAAGGGGTCCTTTGTCCTGCTTGAATCCTTTAGCAGCAAAGAAATTTTTTAAAAAATTCCCTATCATGAGGACTTTGGAAACTAACTTCTAGGTTTGCATGAAAAAACAGCCCAGCAGAAATAAATGGGATTCACAGAAAATGAGCTAGCATAAAATTTAAGAATAGAATTTAAGACCTTGAAATAGCAGGAGCAGTACCTCTGATGGAGCGTACTTTCCAGCTGCTCCTGGAAGTTGGGGCATGGAAACTGGGATGCTTTCATCCAAGAAGCTGAGCTAATCATTGGAGTGTTCATAGGTTTCAGGTCTGACTCTCCGATACCACAGTTACACTGCTATGAGTATTTAAGATAGCAGAGATTGTGTATGTAATTACTGAAACCAGCACTGTAGCTACGCCCAAAGTTTGCACTATTTATATATTCTAATATAAACATAGGAAAGTTTACATATTGATGCAAATACTCATACAGAAGTATTTATGGAAGATAAAATTGCTCAGTGTCTGAAAAGGTATTGCCTGACCTATCTGTTAACAAAGTTAGTTTTTATCTGGTATTGTATTTAGACAAATGTTATCATCAATCTTGCAATCTCTTCTAGTTACAGTTCAGTATGCCAAAATTCAGTAGCTATAAGAAGGTGAAATACAGCAGCCTTGAAAACTGAGCAATGAAAAACCAATAATTTGATGGTGTAAAAACAGTCAGACAGAAATACATAGTACTGAACTGAACTGAAAAATCTGTCCCTGCACTCAGCC